ATACGTTATTCTATTTAATTTTAGAGATTGTTTTGGTGTTTAATATATCCTTAAGAGACTCAAATATCAATAAATTGCAATTCAAATAAAATACTGCTTGCTTTAGTTTGTGTCATTTTTATGTAATATATCAAAGACATAAAATAGTGTTTCATCCCATTTCGAAACACCGAGAATCGAAGTGAGTAAAAACACGAGGCGGAGCAGATTTTGTTTAACCAACTTCGAAGTATTTAGATATAGGATGAAACACTCTTTCCATATCTAATGGGGATACTCAAAGCATTTGCCCAAATGAAAGTTTTCAATGTATAGGTTTTGTTTATATTTAGCTCGCAGTCTCTTCTTTTCGTTTTTTTAAATTCTTTATTGATTTTGCTATATTATTTATCGAACGAAGCAAAGCTCGTCTCTCATATACCATGAAATTCAAAAAACGTCGGTTCGAGATCAGAAATGGGAAATCTGAGACTAAACGTAATTTTCGTGGTTTAATGTTTTTCGGCTAAAATATGAAAAATCACGTTTGTAACTCAAGTCGTCAAACAATACAATTAGCAACGTGCTACTTATTTTGCATGTCATACATATACATTTCGTGTTGTATTTCGTGTGATAGTAGTATAGTATGTCATGTATCAGAGGATAAACTGGACTATAAGAGACACGTCAACATTTACTCGGTCTCTCAGAACATGAGTCTCTTTCAGAAACTTTTCGTGTTGGGGTGTTTTTCATTTTTAGCTTGGTTTTTATTCTGGAGTTCGTTCAAAATTGGTTACAAAGAACCGGAGTGCTTGTTATTTTGCCAAGGTAAATATATGATTTCTTTCTTTTCTACCTTTTTTTTTCTTAGTCTGTATTCGCACGCGTAGTAACACCTGCAGCTTCACACCATGTAGGATCAGGACAGGAGTGCGAGCACCTGGAATATTTCATATATGGTTTCTGTTCTTTATCTTCTTTTTCCGAGTGGTTTTCATCATTCATCTGTCATCGAGGTCGTCCTCCTCTTCTTAATTCTTCTTCTACCACTATCGTTGAAGTGCGAACCACGAAGTTTGATGTCTCATTCGCCGACTAGCATTTCAACGGCAATCAATCAAAAAACTGGGGAGGATGGATCAATATCTTGAGTAAAATTTTAGAATATTTAAAAAATATTTTAAAAATTTWAAAAAATTAAAAAAAATTTTAATCCTCGATTCTCTTAAATTTTTCATTCGGTCCAAAACTTCCCTAAAATATTGCGGGTTTTTTATAGTTATCAAAAATTCTGAAATTTATTTGATGTATATTGATATTTTCTTTTGTATAGCGATTTCAATGATATATCAACAATATTTATTTAATCCAAAACGGTTTTAAAATACTGGTAATGAGACTTTTTAGTATGTTTAGAGATAAATTACTCCTTGTTTACTTGTTAGTAGTATAGGTAATAACACGGTTTCGAGTTCAATTTTGGACTAATTTGCACAAGTGTGTTTTTTCAAAGAATTGAAATTGCACGACACGGTTTCGAGTTCAATTTTGGACTAATTTGCACAAGTGTGTTTTTTCAAAGAGTTGAAATTGCACGAGAACGTAGTCATGGCAACGGTGATATCTTCACATGTGACGGACAGAGTAGAATGTACGATATTTTATACACCAGAAAAATCCTTACACAATATTTTGGTCTTCAAGATCCCAAAACTGAGCCGCAAAGTTTTCGTAACACGTCCAACAACTGTCAGGAATAATTTTTTTCTTTCAATATACAACTCCAGTTAGCTGCAAAGTCAGCCAATCCAAATGTCTTCATTCATCGTGATTCAGATTTACTTTACAGTAAAAAAAAAACTTTTTACATCAACATTCAATATAGCCAAATTTTGGTTTAAAATAAATGAAGAAAATCTTTGAAATAGCATGTATTTAAATCCAAAATCCCTTTGAATATGGTCGCTTGTGAACGAACAAATTTTATAAAATATTTTATCATATRATTATCCCTAAAATACCTATATTTCTCCTTCTCGAAAAAATGATATTATTTTCACATGAGAAAATATCGTTACCATGCTATTAGTTTATAAATAAAAACTTTTTATTATGATGAAAATCTTATCAAGTTGAACGGAGCCCTATGTATTTAACTAATTTAGTTAAATTTAATTTAAATTTGATAAGGTTTTCACACAATTCCCCCATGAGAAGCGTTTGAATTTAATGTACTTTCGCATTAATCTCATTGTCTTTATTTTCTTAAGTCACGCTTGAAAATAATAATAATAAAAAGCTGTGTTAAAAATCCTTAGTTAAATAAAATACAATATTCCTTTGCAGAGTGCGAACACAAATCATTTAGTAAAAAATTGTGTAAGAATCTATTGCTACGAATGTTTTCATTTAACCTTGACATTTCAGTACGTTTTTGATACAGAATACCAATAGATCTATTAGTATTCTGTATAACGATACAGAATACTAATTAAGCATTGTTATAATTCATCAACCCCAACCTTTCCATGGCAGCTATTCAAACCCTCCCCATGCTTTTAGTTTCTTTGGATATGTATCTTGTATACAAGTAATTGCATGTGACACAAATGCCGAGTCCGGATTGGACAGAACGCTCATGAATTATTGATGAATATTATAATAGCATTTACCACATCGTGTTTAATGGTCTTACTCATAGTCTTTTTCGTTTCTGTTTTAGTTTTTGCTTTACTTCGGCAAAGAATGGCTCGAGTATTTTCTTTAGATCGGCTGGCTCATTTCCCTCAGTTCATTCACTATTTTTTCCATATATTCAACAATAACGATGTACTTTTACTTGTGTTTTCATTTTTGAACTGTTTTTTAGTTGTTTGATAGGGCTTTTGATTTGCCTTTTTTTGTTCTACACTCATGGGGGAATTAATTAAAGTTGGCTCTTGAAACCGCAATCATTTTGTYAGTATTACTGCTCTATTTACTGTAGAAAGAGAGATTCTCAAGGTTCACGCAATTGATTGTGAAGATTGTTGTAGCCAACAAATTTATATAAAACAATGCGCCATCTTAAATCTTTGCTGTAGACCATAACTGAAGTAAAAACCTTCGATGTAACGACAGATCGTTCAACTCATAACGAATGTTGCTTTTTTGTGGTTAGTCCGTCGATAGACGGCTAACCACTATGCTATCGCGTAGCGTGAACCACTTCCCCTCCCCTGGTAGGGCGAACCATTTTTCGCATTTTATTCAGTAACTTTTTAATTTATTGAATTAATCAGTTCATTTAACTGTTAGAGCTTTCATTATACATCTCTAAACAGTGGAATAACAGTTTTCATGGCCGATCTTGACAGCGAGTTGCAAAAACAAAACGGCTGACCAATAGCGCAGCGCAGCCGTGATGTCATAATAACGAAGACAAAGGCGAAATTCGGACAAACAAACTTACAAGTTTACTTTCAGCAGATAATTTTCACAGCCCATCGCAGTTGATCTTAGCTTACATGGGTTATTATTGTAACTTTAAGCAAAAATAATAAAATCGGTTCGTATAATCCTCGTAGCGGTTAAACAGAATACAATGTTTGTCCGAATCTTTAAGCTATTTTTAGAATCAGCGCGCTGCGCTATTTTTGACGTGCTGCTGTGGGCCACTAGACCTCCCCCCCTGGGGTTAATTGTTGGAATCGTGCCACAAATCATGCTTCCTGTCAACTATCCAGGCCTGATGTTCGGTCATGTTCAATGCGATAAACTTCCGAATAAAATGGTGTATGCCATTTTCACTCGTGGATTACATCATCATATAAACCATAATAATTTCTTTTCCTCGTGGCTCGAGTTGCTACGACAAATTTTCTGCCGTCTTAATAAAGTCCGGGCCCAAGTAAGAGCGCACGACAGTGCTATCTCGACAAGATAGTCTCATACAAAACAAACTCATTACTCATATATTGAAGACTATGAAAAAAATATACATATATATATTGAAAACGATATTGAAAACTATATTGAGCCTCCTAATTGGAGGATAAATGAGGCCGTAATTTACGGGATATATTTAGCCCTTATATTTAGTCGAATTTATTAATATAAACAAACCAACAGCAACAACAACAAAAAAAACAACAACGCATTGTCGGTTGTGAATTAAATCAGACCCATTGTGGAATGTATCTTGAATCTCTTCCGATGAATTTTAAGATAATCCAGCCTTTTGCTCATGGCATGCATGGGATGTTCAAATTCATTCTTAGAACAATCGAAAAACCATATCTTTGCAATAATCTAATATTAGTTTATTGTGATCGATAACGATCAACAAGGCAACATTGTCTTAAAACTATTTCTATTTCTTTGCAATCATGTGAGAGGTTTTTGCTATATATAAAAACGAGCAGCAGTGTTCATTCAAATGTAAAAGTTTTTAATAAAACTCATGGTTCGAATTCCTTGGTCCGTTCTGATCACATGGTCGAAATCATGAATTATAAATGACTTTGGAAGACTTTAGTATGATCTCTCCTGTCCTCACACCATTCATTTTACTTCTTTGGACTAACCACATGCGCTTCTTGAGCGCCTTTAATTTAAAAGAGCATTAACGAAACTAAAATGCAATTCAAATCTTCAGATAAATATATAGCTGACAGTGCGAAGGTTATACAACTGTTCTATTATTGATCTTGAACAAATGCAACCCCATTCCACGATAAAATAATAGGCCCTTTGCAGTCAACAGTTACGTGTCTGTACTGGAATGCAAAATGTTTGTTTTTATATTAAATTGGTGACTCTTTTTAGCTGCTTGTAAAGAACTGAATGAAAACATGTGTATCCAGTGTGTTACGAAATGCAGTTTTATTACGATCTCTCGAAACAGGTTGTAGAAAGTTTGTTTGCAGTCCAGTAAATTTCACCCATAAGAATCAAAATATTCATTCATTTGCTCTCAGTGAATTAATCAGCACGTGATTGCTTAGCTGCAAAGGGCCTATTATTCCCTTCTTCTGGGGCTGCACGGACTTATATGAACATATTTAATCGGTCATTGTTGTAGTATAAAGCTCAACTGTAAATACTAATCCAGGCAAGACAAAAGGAAAATGGGGACACATATATCAGTATTTATATCCGATAAATGTCACAATATATATATATATATCTATAATATAAATTATGCAAGTTCTAGGGACTCATCAACATGCACACGCGCGCTCTTTTAGTGATCAAAACGATAAACGGAAAGAGTGCGCGCGCAAGTTGATGACGCACGGGAGTAGGGTAAGACGAAAGTTAAACTGTATCCTGTTACTAAAAATAGCCCAACCGGGATTTTACATGGCGTGCGCTTTATTAAGAAGTTTCCCTCTCTTATTTTTGCTTTCTTGATTCAGTGTATTCAACTGAAAAGAAATTAATGTTAGAAAGACTAACACTAATTATTTAATCCATCAAATATGATTTTAAGATATAGCAGGTAACAAACTTGCCGCTCCACGACCAAAAGAAAACCAAGCTTCTATGGACGACTTTCTTGCTCTCCTTCAGGATTGTCTAAAACCAACCAGTATGAAGATAAATAAGGTATGTTGAAAGAATTTGCTTGTATCTTGTATTTAGAAGATAATATAGGTAAGTTGTAGTGCTTGGGAACGAGGTTATTCCGGGCGAAAGCAAAGCCCTTGGAATTAAATTCGGAAAAATTAATTTCCGACCTCGCTGGGATCAGCTGGGACCAGCGAGGTCGGAAATTAATTTTTCCGAATTTAATTCCAAGGGCTTTCGCCCGGAATAACCTCGTTCCCAAGCACTACAACTTACCTATATTATCTTCTACTATTTCATTAGTGCCACGCGGTCCACATACTCTCATCTTGNATATTGGATATTGGATATCGGATATTGGATATTGGATATTGTATATTGGGAGTATAAGAGCATGCATGTCACGAAAAAAGAACTTAAAGGCTCATTAATTATTCATGAATTTTTGACGTCGCTCAATAAACTCGCAGATCGTGTTTTATCATGTCTAAAAATATTTGGCTAAGCCTCGTGGTTTTAAACCTGATAAAACGCACCTGCTCCTTTACTAAACTATACTTAAATATTGGCAATAGAGGCAGCAATTGAATTTGATCTAATCTTATTTACATGAGAAAGAACTCAGTTTCCCAGGAGAAAAGACTCTATTGTTGTGCCTTCAGGCATGGCTGCCATCACGGTGCAAAGTATCCATTGGGGTTTTTCATGCAACTTCACGCTGTGAAGAAATTTGTTTAATCTGAAAAAGGAATTAATATTCAAAGTTGTCGTACAGATATATAAGTAAAAATACGAAGGTTCGATCATCGCAATCGCACAAAAACTAATGGAATATATGATTTGTTTTTCAATAGATTTGACAAACAGCTGTAAGTTGGCAAATTTCCCTGCTAACACATATTTTTTTGTAAAATTTGTAAGAGTCTAAAAGCCATACATCTGAATTATTGACAATCTTCACGAAACTTTACAATTTTACTATTATCTATGTGAACGATTTGACTGTCAACTCTTTTTTCTGATAGAAGAAAAACAAAACACTTTCCTTTTAATATCGTGACGTCACAATGAAAAAGCTCAATATATAAGACTTGGCATTCAGCTTCTGATTGGTCCAGATTTTTTTCTGCTGCCTTTTTTATTAGTGAAGTGATGGTCTAATTCTTTTCTTCTTAAGTATCGAGGAAGACTTAATGTTCATCGCTGGTTCGATAGTTGTACATGTGGATATTCTATAGACAGAGCAATGAGAATCTACTCGAAATTCCCAGCAGAACCAGAGGTTAGTTATCATCCTTACTGCTCCCTACAGTGTCTAATTTATTACCCAACTATCGTTTGTGACCGATAGGCTTTCTCCTGCATTATTAGTTTACTTACTGAGCGTGCATAATTGGACCGGATATTAAACACTTTAGTTGTAAGAAAAGAAAAAAAAATTGGTAGTGCGATAGTGCAGTAATAACACTCTTAGCTTCGTTCTCCCCTTTGGTTTTTCAGTTCGAGTCTACCATCAACAGTTCGGAAATAATATTGGATAGGATGGAGTACAGTCAGCGAGTATTTGGTTATGTGACTCCCGAGATAACAGGTGACCTCCTGGGAGCGGTGTGGGTAGGGAGATAATGGTATTGTCAAGGCACAGAAAGGCATCCAGACAGGGATGGGGTAATGTTTTTGTCAAAGGTACATTAAGGCACCCTGACAGGGAGGGGGTAGTGTTCTTTTATAAGTACGGAGAGGCACCCTTTTCTCGGAGGGGGTAGTGTTTTTGTCATACGAACGGAGAGGCATCCTGACAACGAGGAGGTAGTGTTTTTTTATAGGTACGAAGAAGCATCCTGTCAGGGAGGGGGATAATGTTCTTGGCATAGGTACGGATAGGCATTTTGACAGGGAGAGGGTACAGACATCAATCCCAACATCGAAGGGGGTAGTGCTATTGACGCGCCTTGTGTGTGCAACCACACGAAGGTTCTGATGCTCCTTGGCAGTTTTGTTGACCTCATAACATCTTGGATGTCTTTCTGTAGGCCAATACAGATTTGCAGTAAGCTCAGATGATAACTCAGAGCTTTGGATCAGTCGGGACTCCAGTCCAAGAAACGTAGAGCTGTTTGCAAGCGTTGGTGATGTAAGTTATATATTCATCTCAATAACGGTTAGTCACCTGCGAACCTACGAAGTTAAGACCGAAAAGGATTGTGGGTAAATACGTCTGACCAATCATCGGACTTTTCTACCAAATACAGTTCTACTTCCTGTGAGCATCCTCAAGCTGCAGTTTTTTTTATAAAACGTATTTTAAATGAAATATTTTCCCGACCGCGATCCTCAGCGATCTTAGCTTAGTAGGATTGGGTGACTTAACTTCATCCAAAATAAGTACTTCTTGTATGCTGCCTTTTTCTTGGTTTCTCAGTCTACCAAGTAATTAAGATTTCCCAGTTTTGTTTAATTTTCTATTTCCGAATCGAGCTTGTAATAAGCAACCAACTATAGGGTGGAGGGGGATGGAGGAAAAGTAGAGCAGAGCAGAGCAGAGCAGAGCAGAGCAGAGCAGAGCAGAGCAGAGCAGAGCAGAGCAGAGCAGA